ATCTTACCAATTTGTGCCCGACAATGTCGATAAGTTGTCTGTGACAAAGCCCTGATGCTTCGCGGTTGTGAAGAGCATCCAAGCAGGAATTTGGCTAGGTGCTTATTTGCTTGCGAGATTATTTGTTGTTTGATTATCGGTGCTAGGTGCTTTATTGGCCGTGTCGTTGTTGGTCATCTTTGTGTTGAAAGCTTGACAATCGTGTCTCGTTAGCCAACGGTGTTGTTCCTGTGTCCCTCAAGGGCATCCTCCGACTTTTCATCAGAAAAATCAACATGACAGTCGCAGTGCCAGTACAGAAGAAAGACATGGGAATACATTCATATAATACAAAATATAAAAGCATCTACCATACTAAGTTATATAGACAAAATACATCTTAATGTATCTTACTGATGAAGATGCCCTAGATGAAGAACAATAATGACCAGAACCTGTGGCCAAGTGTACCTACACTATCAACAGATAGTGTTGCCCGAAAAGAAACAGGGTATTGGCATACTCACGTTCAGTATTCGAGGCACATATTACAATATTCAGAAAAAAATACACTTTTAGTAAAAATGAGCTTACCGAGAGAGATGGCAGAGGATCGTCTGGGTCTTAGTCGTGAGGAGCAGCAGAGGGGAAAGGGCCTTGCTTTTAAAAATAAGAGATATATTTTCCAGGGGTGGAGGAGTGCTTGTGTTGTGACCTTATCTGCTTATGTTTTTCGTCTTCTTTCTATTTCTTTTTTACTTTCGTTTGTTTTGTTGAGAGGATGGGATCGAGGCTTTTGAGAAATTTTGATAGAAGCAGTTGTTAAAAAGGTAAAGCTGCTGTGGATTCTGGAGTGATAGTTTTTTTTAAGAGTCTTGCTGTTCGAATAGACCGCGTCCTCTGCCATCTCTCTCGGTAAGTCTTTTTTACTAAAGTGTATTTTTTTCTGAATATTTAATATGTGCCTCGAATACTGAACGTGAGTATGCCAATACCCTGTTTCTTTTCGGGCAACACTATCTGTTGATAGTGTAGGTACTTGGGCCAGGTTCTGGTCATTATTGTTTCATTAGTTTTCATCAGTAAGATACATTAAGATGTATTTTGTTTATATGGATACTTATGTATGGTAAAGATGCTTTTATATTTGTATTATATGAATGTATCCATGTCTTTCTCTTACTGGCACTGCGACTGTCATGTGATTTTTCTGATGAAAGAGTCGGGGAGGATGGCCCTGAGGAGCACAGAAGCAACACCGGTGGCTCTGAAACTGAGACAGATTTTGTGTCAGAGCTCAACACAAATATTGACTCAGACAAGCGACTGTCTGTCGTCGCAATGGAAAGCACCTTGCACCGATAAGTTCAAGACGTGAAAGCAGAATAATTCTCTGCAGCGGAAAGATTTCAAGGGGCATCCTAGGCTCAAAATTCCTGGCCTGGATGCCTCTTCCTCACCCGCGAAGGTCTATCTGTGCTTTGTCACAGACAAGCTTATCGACATTGTCTGGGGCACAAATTGGTAAGATACCTGCATATTTTCCTGTAAGTATACACTAATTTTCCTCATAAGCAATATTGTAGAACTTTTCTTCTGTTTTCAGGTACAGCCTGCATAAGGGTCCCTTCACCTCATATGAAGGCTCGGGTTGAGATGACTAAGCGAAGTCAATGCATTGTTTGCATTATTGCTTCTAATGTCGCTGAATTTGAAGCCTAAGTAAGACTTCTGGGTGAAAGACCCCCTCGAAAGAAGACAATGACGTGGGTCAGATTCAAGACACTGAGCAGTTACCTCCACATGGTGGATCATGAAAGGGTGGAACCCATCACTGACCACTTGTAGAAGCTTCGGACAGTAATCGACCTGTTGTCTCTCAGTTTACCTTGGTCTACACTCCTCCCTGGAGGGTGTCAGTCCACAAGACTCTGTGGAAGTTCCAGGGGCGCTGACAACATGAAGTCTACATCACAGACAAGCACGCACGTGTCGTGGTGCATATCTACAAGCTCGCAGTCAGTCAAGGTAAGATATCTTGAGATTCAACTATTACCTTTGGTGCATATGTCTGCAAGTTGATAAATTGCATTGTGAGTAATATCTAATGTTTTCTTTCTTTTTTTCAAGGCCCGAGCACAGGGTACATCAGTGTCTTCCGGATATCTACGGGCCACAATAAGGGGGATATTCCTGCATCCTCAAAGGTTGTCATCGACTTGTTGGACACTGCGGGTCTGTTTGGAAAGTGGTAAGAGGTGCATACCGATAACTGGTACACCATTCTTTGGCTTTTCCACTACCTGCAGGGACAGGGTGTCAATGCAGTTGGTACGCCTTGTGTTTACTGCAAGTACATGACGAAGGATCTGCAAGTAAAGGCCTGTGGTGATGTGGACTATCGTAGCTCAGGGCAGGGCTAGTTGTGCCTTCAATTGTGCAACAAGAGGCTCGTCACGATGCTGTTGACATATCACAAAAGTGAGATGGTTACATCTCAGACCGACATGGTCACCAGAGGCTAAAGCCTCTGGTGATGGTTGACAATAATGTCAGGATGAAGGGGATGGACATGAGGGACCAGCTGGCTCAGTCTTATTCATCCTTTTGGAAGTCCAAGTGGACTACAAAAGTCTTTTACAAACTGATAGTGATGGCAGTCGTCAATTCTTTCTCGGTGCACAAAGCACTGGGAAGGATTTGACTCAATGGGCCTTCAGAAAGGGGTTCATTCATGAGCTCCTCCACAGAGCATATCATCCGTGAGCCAAACTTGGGAGAGGGCTGTCTCCAGGAAGGAAACAACGTCCACACTCAGGCAAAGAAAAGAAACGAGCCATTTGTGGCCACTGCCAAGTGGCACTTTGCCAATACGGTTGTTTTAAGGCCTATCATAACCTTGAAAATTATGAATATACATAAATAAAAACATGTAAAAAATAAATACATATTTGCTTATCCTTCATTGGCACAATACTTTTTATACTGTACATAATGTAAAATATTTGGAGATATAATCTGAAGTGCAATCAACTACTGTTTTGATCTAGCATAGGTGAATGTATATTTTTGAAAAATAAACAGTGCAAAAGTAGAAATACAATATCACCTGTATTGCATAGTGCGTAAACAATTTTGAGATAAAACAGTCTTCTCAACAACAATAGTATATCACTAGCATAATAAAGCATAACAAATGACAAATGTAGACCTCGAAAATTGCGAAACAGAAAAAACTCGTCTGCAGAAAATAGCAGATCATCTTTATTCCTGCACTGTCTAAGCTACTTGAACAGATAATGTGATGTATAAACAACAAAAAGAATCTATTACTCTTTTTATATAGCTTAATTAAGTAAACAATATTTTTTAGATCAGAATGAATATGAAAATATTGGAAAGACACTAATAACACAGAGGATAAACTATATGCAAAGATTTTATGGAATCTGCATAATGAAAACAGACTATTGGCCACATGATACAGCATAAGAAATTATGAACACAGTTCTCATAAATTATCATTATAGCAAAAATGCATCTACGAAAATGTCACCAAGAACGGGGTCACGGAGGTTTGATACAGCGTGTGAATACTCATTTGGGCTGGGCATACACATCATGCTCCCAGGAGAGTGGCTGCCAAGGTATTTTGGTCTGCACACGAGCACCAACATAACTGGATCCAAGGGGTTTAAAATTACACAAATAACAAAATTACTTATTACCTAAAGGGATGATATGGAGTATGTGCACGCAAAACAGTCTATTACCATCTGGATAAGGCAAATCAAATTACGAATGTGGTCACTGGAAAATGGTAAATACACTAAAAACGCTTATGAATAAAAACATAAAATGACATTGTAATGGGAAGGCATTAAATCATGTCACCGTAAACGAGTGTTGTATGACCCCAGCCTACAAGTAACACACCCGGCAGAGCAGCCACTTACGTAAGCCTATAATCAGTATTTTGTTCCATGTGATTGCTGTGAAGCAACCTGATCAAAAGGGTAAGAATTATCACAAGTGGAAAAAACAAGTTATGTATAACATATTCTTAATCTTTGGATGTCAGCTAAAGATTTATAAATTGTCAATCTTTATCTACAGTTTATCACTATGCAATTATTTTTAAAATATTACCAAATAAGTAAGTATTATTGCTCTGAAAGACAGACAGTTTTGGCCAGGCCATGATAGAGATAAATGGCAGATATTCATCAAAGGGCACATCCAACCACTATACACAAATAAAAATGATTGTTGTAGTTGTTATTTGGAATTATTATGTGTAGAAAGACAATTTACCCAACCGCCCCAATTTATGTGTGGTCCCCTGTAGCTTTTTGTGAATTTTGTTACATACAGATGGCTCCATATGTACTCAGCCACTAAAGAGTCTCTAATGATCGTGCCTCAGTTACCCATTCCTTGAAATGGCAGGAAAATGTGTTTTTCCCTCTAACACTATTCACAAAGGTGCCATTATTCTTATTGATATTATGATTACTAAAATGTTATCATATTATCAATAACATTAAAGACAATAAAAGAATATAAAAGAACACTCCCAAAAATCAAAGAAAATGGTAAACAGGTGATATAGGTAGTACTAATAACTGATTCCTTGGTGACTAAGTACTTGTAGAGCCATCTATGTGTAAAGATAACGAATAAACGTTTATAACTGTAGGCATGGAAGGTATTCTTGCCAAATGTGGTGATGGCAACATTTCCATAAATACTCAAAGGACAACCAACCTGGATTTCATTGAGAGCAGTCTGCCTTTTCTGACTAGCTAAGAGCAGCAGCTTCTCGGCCTCAACGTGCTGCGGAGTGCCTTGCTGTTCCACACGTTGCAGCACCACTGTGATGGCAAGAATACCTTCCATGCCTACAGTTATAAAACGCTTTATTCGCTTATCTTTACACATAGCATGGCTCTACAAGTACTTAGTCACCAAGAATCAGTTATTAGTACTACCTATATCACCTGTTTACCATTTTCTTTGATTTTTGGGAGTGTTCTTTTATATCCTTTTATTGTCTTTAAGTTATTGATAATATGATAACATTTTAGTAATCATAATATCATAAGAATAATGGCACCTTTGTGAATAGTGTTAGAGGGAAAAACACATTTTCCTGCCCATTTCAAGGAATGGTAACTGAGGCACGATCATTAGAGACTCTTTAGTGGCGCTGAGTACATATGGAGCCATCTGTATGTAACAAAATTCACAAAAAGCTACAGGGGACCAACAACATAAATTGGGGCGGCTTGGGTAAATTGTCTTTCTACACATAATAATTCCAAATAACAACAATCACAACAATCATTTTTATTTGTGTATAGTGGTTGGATGTGGCCCTTTGATGAATATCTGCCATTTATCTCTATCATGGCTGGCCAAAACTGTCTGTCTTTCAGAGCAATAATACTTACTTATTTGTAATATTTTAAAAATAATTGCATAGTGATAAACTGTAGATAAGATTGACAATTTATAAATCTTTAGCGACATCCAAAGATTAAAAATATTGTATACATAACTTGTTTTTCCACTTGTATAATTCTTACCCTTTGATTCAGGTGCTTCACAGCAATCACATGGAACAAAATACTGATTATAGGCTTACGTAAGCTGGCTGCTCTGACCGGGTGTGTTACTTGTAGGCTGGGGTCATACAACACATCGTTTACGGTGACAATGATTAATGCCTTCCCATTACAATGTCATTTTATTGTTTTTATTCATAAGCGTTTTTATGTATTTACCATTTTCCAGCTGACCACATTCGTATTTGATTTGCTTATCCAGATGGTAATAGACTGTTTTGGCCGTGCACATACTCCATATCATCCCTTTAGGTAATAAGTAATTTTGTTATTTGTGTAATTTTAAACCCCTTGGATCCAGTTATGTTGGTGCTCGTGTGCAGACCAAAATACCTTGGCAGCCACTCTCCTGGGAGCATGATGTGTATGCCCAGCCCAAATGAGTATTCACACGCTGTATCAAACCTCCGTGACCCCGTTCTTGGTGACATTTTCGTAGATGATTTTTGCTATAATGATAATTTATGAGAACTGTGTTCATAATTTCTTATGCTGTATCATGTGGCCAATAGTCTGTTTTCATTATGCAGATTCCATAAAATCTTTGCATATAGTTTATCCTCTGCGCAAAGCAGGTGATACTGTGTTATTAGTGTCTTTCCAATATTTTCATATTCATTCTGATCTAAAAAATATTGTTTACTTAATTAAGCTATATAAAAAGAGTAATAGATTCTTTTTGTTGTTTATACATCACATTATCTGTTCAAGTAGCTTAGACAGTGCAGGAATAAAGATGATCTGCTATTTTCTGCAGACGAGTTTTTTCTGTTTCGCAATTTTCGAGGTCTACATTTGTCATTTGTTATGCTTTATTATGCTAGTGATATACTATTGTTGTTGAGAAGACTGTTTTATCTCAAAATTGTTTACGCACTATGCAATACAGGTGATATTGTATTTCTACTTTTGCACTGTTTATTTTCAAAAATATACATTCACCTATGCTAGATCAAAACAGTAGTTGATTGCACTTCAGATTATATCTCCAAATATTTTACATTATGTACAGTATAAAAAGTATTGTGCCAATGAAGGATAAGCAAATATGTATTTATTTTTTACATGTTTTTATGTATGTAAATATT